AAAAAAAAAAAAAAAAACCAAAAAAAAAAAAAAAAAAAAAAAAAAAAAAAAAGTTTTATACAGCTAAGGAACAAGAAACTGTACTGTGCAACATGTGAGGCTACTGCCATGTTTTGTGCCAGAATCTGAATAGGAGTTTGGGTCTTACCTCCTCATAGCCTGGAAATTAGTGTGAATTTGGCCACATTAGTAGGCAATTGAGATTCTAATTATTACAAGAAGTTCAAATTCTCTATTTAGAATTAGAAAAGAGTACTGGAAAGCTTTGTTTTGGAATAAACCCACCAAAAATGTCTCCCTGACTCATGGACTGGGTGTTAAAATGAAGCATTATTAATATTAATTTTTCATTTTATTTCATGACATCCTCTAAATAAAATATATTCTGCATGTAAACCATAACTGACTTTAATTTACTAACAAAACTTTGGCTAAATAGTTCTTTATCTATGTACAACAATTTCAGGCTAAGTAATCCAGAGTAAGGGAGCCATAAAAGTTTTTTAGATTGATGAGTTATCAAACTTTGTAAACTCAGGATTTAATACTTATACAAGTAGTAGAGAATGCTACTGACTTTCATTTATTGTAAAAATTGAGTTCACATTTGTCTTTGATAAATAAATTACACTACGTAGAATGTTACAATGAAATAATGTTTTGTTTTTTTCCCATACCAAGTGGTTTTTATATAGGAGAAAACTTATTCTATTTTAAACAAGAAGATTACATTGAATATTTAGTCTAGGAATTGGTTAATTTTGGTGTAACTACTGATGGATGAATCTGTCAAATAAATTTTAGCCATTTTTCAGAAATGACAACTTAGTACTATATTAAACTTTCTCACAAAGTTGAAAAATAGTTGATGCATTTAGAAATGGCAAATTATATTATTTTATTTTTCAATATGACTCAATAATAAATTATCTAAAAAGTTGTTTTTATTTCTTACCATTAATTTCAAAGCATTTGAACACACTAGTAAAAAAGAGAAAAGGAATAAGTAGATCCTAATTATTTTAAAATTTGTATTTATGAAATTAAATTTATTATCTCTGGATAGACCAATAGCTATTAATTCAATAATCTATCAATTTATGTCTCATTTTCCTATCAATTTCATTAACTTTTGTTTTTAAACTTTTGACTTTTATAAAATTTCCTGCACAACAAAAAGCATTCTAAAATCTAACCATGCTGAAAGGGACATTTTCTTCACTGTTCCTGGTTTAAAATTTCAAGATATTTGCTATGATATATTGGACAAGGGATGAAAAACAATAAATCACAGCATACCTTTTGGTTCAAACATGACAGAGATTTATAAAGTATTCACTACATGCAAGTCATGTTTGTTTGTAATTAAGCACAAAGCTACACAATGGGCTATCTGTGCTCTGCTCACCATGGGTATCGAAACCCGGGTACTAGCGTTGTAAGTCCACATATATACCACTGTGCCACTGGGGGGCTGTAATTCATGACTATATATAAAGATCCATCAGTGAGCTATTGAGACTATATATATATATATATCTAGTTGGAGACATTAAGTCCCAAATATGGGATACTTTATGGAAGTGCTTCTACTGAAATATGGCAGTGAAGGTAAACTAAAAAGAAAAAATCAAAATGAAAAGATGACATCAGTTTCCAGAATACCTACAAAAAAGTAACAGAATAGTCAGTTTTTGGATCTGGTTAGAGGCAACCAAAACTTTGCTTTACATATCTTCATCCTCATTAAGACAATCCTAAGGTAAAAGATTTAGTAAACTAGATGCAAAGTTACCTGATCATTCAAGGTCACAAGGAATGCATAACTGACACCATACACTAGCAAAAGACTTTATCGTAAATTAAATACAAGTACGTTAAGTAAGTAGAAATAATTACCAGGAAAAGTAAAACAAATGGGATAAGACAATCAATCACCCTCCTTTTCACCAAAATCTTGGGATTGAATAGAAAGATAATAAAAGTATCCTAACTGAAAATGAGAAAAAAGTCCCAAAACTAGCAGAAGTTGGAAAAACATTTTATGTAAAAAATAAAAAAGGCTAATGATTCAAAGGTATCAGTGATCAGCCTTTAGAACTAGATCTTGTCTAAATCTGGAAATGGCCTTTAACCAGAAGAACAACTGAAATGTAAAGAACAAAAAGTCATCTAGTGAAGTTGATACAGTGTAAGAAGATAAAGCATAGGATAGTGCTGCTTGACATCTCGAAATGGAATATATACAAGTCTGACTATGAGAACATTTAAGAAATGCTCCAAAGGATTGTACAATGGCCCCAGAAATGAAGATGTTCAATGCTGTAATGGAAGAAACACACTAGCAATTTCTTATGCAGAAAAGAATACTCATTAAAAAAAATCTACCAGACCATCAAAAATTAATTATATTACTGAAATAGTAATGCTTTTAAAGAGGAATTCATAAACAGGGAGAGGTGAGACACATCCTGGTTCCAAACATACTCTCCTTGAACCAAACTCTCTCATTTAAAATGGAAATGTGTGAATGCAAACTTGAACATAAATGTCAATCACTATTTGCATTTGTGAATCCTTGAAAATGTCACTGGATTGCAAAAACATCCTGGGAAGAATTCTATTCAAAAAAGATAATTGTTTAGCAATCAGAAAGTTTGGAACAAACAAGAAGATCGTAAAATCACATAAAAAAAATAACACAATTGAACTAAACAATAACAATTCAACTTTGTGAATACAGAACAAGGCCAACACAGTCTTTTTCTTTCACCATTACAAGAGCAAAATGGTGCCTCTCAGACAGTACACACTCCTAAAACCCTATAGGAAACAAGAACTGCAACCCAAGTCAGTCTGAAATCAATAAAAGTCACAAAAGTATGGCAATTTCTATAACTGTTCATCATAATGCAAAAAAGGTCAAATAAGTCAAACATGTATCTTGTATGCTGATGAAGGCTCATACATTGGGCAATAGGTATACATAAACATATAAGAGTTTCTTTTCTTTTCTGTCTAAATTCCAGTTGGTTAGTCTAAAGATTCAATTACCAGAAGACTGTTGCTGAATTGTGATTAAAAACCATTTGAGTGAAACAACAGTGAAGAAAAGACCCTCTCTCTAAAATTTTAATATGTAACTGTACTATGCACAGTTGCAATTAATAATCACTCTACCACTGACACCTAAACCCAAAAAATTAAAATAATACACATTGCAGTGTGATTTCAGATTTACCTAACTTTATCCCATCTCTATGAATCTACCAAAAACTAAAGCAAATTTTCATACAAACTTGGAAGGTTATATCTGTTTTTGATTTTTCAGACAAACAAATCACATGGCTATAGAGAGTACAATTTTCAGAGGCCGGGACACTATGAAAAACATCATCTACCCAAGGATATTTATAGTAAGAGTTTTAAAAATTACTACAATATTCATTCAATATTTTAACAAAATTTGTATGCATTGATATCAGGTAGTGTAAATAAATAAAATAATTATTCACTCACATCTAATGGCAAACCTTTAAAACATATTTTCAAACATACACCTTTCAATTTTGATCATAAATCACTTAGTAATACTTCATTGTGAATAACTGGTTTAATCTACAGATGAAATAAACATCAAGGAGTGCAACTAAAGTTTTTTCAAACTGTTTTTAGCATGATGTAGTACTGACACTTGCTCTCATATTGTAAGTTGATCATTCACCTTGGGAAATACCAAATGCAGAAATAGTCTATGTTGATATCAGGGTGTAAATCATTCTGTCAAAAAATACAAAGATAATGAAAAAATATTAAAAAATTTATGTTAAGTAAAAGTATGTATACATACAAACTTTACTGTAACTCACAAAAGAAGTTTGGAAATTTACATGCAAAGCTTTTTTTGTTGTTTCAAAAATTTTTAATTCTGCATAGATCATTCAAATAGAATCCTTCATCATGGACAAATTCTATACATCATAATTTTTAAGTTACACAGACTTCTCACCATTTGCTTTGTAAAGTCATTTAACAAAGTTTAAAATTTTGTTTGATAACCAGCATGGTTTCACTAGGGGAAAATCTTGCCTTAATAATTTGTTGATATTTTTTGAAGGAGTTACTGCTAATGTAGATGAAGGTCTAGGTGTGGTTTTCAGGGCACATCTGTCAAAGTGCCACAAAAGACTTCTTAAAATATTATCTCTGTAGTTGTGCGGGGTAGATTGGTTAATTGCACAGAAAGCTGGCTGGAAGAAAGTAGAGGGTTGCTATAAATGGCATCAGGTCAAACTGGATTAATTTCACAAATGGGGTACCTCAGGACCTTTTCTCTTTCTGATTTACGTCACAGATGAAGGAATGATTAATAAATTATTTATATTTGCTGATGATACTAAGGTTTTGGGTGTTCCTGGTTGTGAGGAGGATGCTGCTACTTTACAAAGGGTTTTGAATTATTTGGTAAGTTGAGCAAATAAATGGCTTTTAATTATTTTATATGCAAAGTAGCACATTTAGGGTATCATATTTGAATTATGAATATGATTTTGATTGAAATAACCTTAACAGTGTTATGGAAGAAAAGGATCTTGGTGTTCTGTTTGATCAGTCTCTTCAGACACCTGAGTAATGTGCTATTGTTAGTGGCAGAATTTTAAGTTGTATTTACAGAAATACTGAACACAAGTCTAAAAAGGATATAATTTCATAATACATGTCATTGATTAAGACATTCAGTCATGGGCCCCTTATCTTAGGAAGGATACTGAATTGTTGGAAAGTGTTCAATGAATGATTCCTGGGATAGAAAGGTTGTCATACAAGGACAGGTAAGATCTCTGAAATTTTCTCTTGGAAAAACAAGAAGAGAGTTAGATGGGATCTGATTGAGATATTTAAGGGAACTGATAGTGTTGATTCTTCATATATCTCATATTTAATGGTGAGAATGATAGGACTACAAGACATAAATATAAATTTGGTAGGGTTGGAGTCACCTTTAGCTCAGACAGCTTTGTTTTTCTAACATAATGGTTTGCTTTTGGAATGGATTACCTTCAGGTATGGTGGATGCAGCAAATTTAAAAGAGTTTAAGGAATAACTAGATAGATATTTAATGATAAGGTCTGGATTGAGTGTTTAATTTATATTTTAAAGTTTAGTTGAGGGGATGACCTAAGTGGATCAACAGGTCCCTTGTCCTTATATGTATGTATATTTAGTAATTCTGCATGATTTAACAAAACATTTAAAATGTTATTTTACAGTAATTTGATTGCTTAACTACAGCCAGTAAAAACATGGGTACACTCATCCACGTCCTTCATATAATTACAAAAATATTAGTTGTATTATTATGGTAAAAATAATTCTTTAACACACTAGTTATAAATAAATAAGTTGTAAAACTTTCTTGCATCAATTTTAAAAAGAATGCCAGCTGTTTAGAGTGTAGCTAATTAAATTTAGGTTTCCTTGTATACTACAATGTTTCACAAAATATGTGTAGTGAAAAGAAATTTCTGTCTATATCATACAATATGATCAATAGACAATTACACCTTCACAAGCCCAAAACTTAAAGTTAATTATTCTAATACTAGGTATGCTATCTATAATGGGGAAAAAGAGGCTAAAGTATAAACAACATTCTCAATGCACTCACCAATACATTTAATCCTGAAATTAAGGATATCATTCACATTGTCTTCAAACATGCTTCACAATTAAGTTTGCCCAGTTGGTTACTTAAAGAAGAATCTTATGCATCAAATAACAAGCATTATCTTAAACAACTTCTAAAAAAGTTAATCTCTAAAGCACAGAAGAAGTACATATATATGTTTAAACTAACAGCCTTACAACATGAAACCAAGAATACACTTACCATTCTTGTAAGATAACAGTATAAAAATGTCTCTTCAACTAATTAGCTCTAATTATGAAATTGATGAAATTTGAGAATATTGTTAATACTAATGAGACAACAAGTACTTATCTTCTGATCAGATAATAAACCATTTACACAAATGCCTTGTTTATGATAAGCTAAAAAATCAATAAGCATTCAATGATAGACATTCTCCACAGGAAATGGTGGAATAAATTGTGGTAAACATGTTGAAAAGTTTATAGTTATTAAGAGCTAAAATTATCTGCAAGTGGCAAGTAAATTATGTTAATACTTTTTCAACTGTACAGTTTTACTACTGTTAGTATTATTATTTTTTCTGTTTAGTAATACATCACTGCATATATCTAAAGTATACCAGTAAGTAGCCCGAGTTCATGACTGTGTTGGAATTTGGTACAAATTAAAAGCAAAAGACCCTAATCTTTTAAAGTGTTGATTCTACATTTATATAGTTCAAAGCACTAGCATGGTATTCAAAAAAAAATATGGTCAGGTTGAGAAACTAATTTTGCTCTCCTTTTTCTATAGCGTTCATGTCAGAATGGCACCTTTAACACTGAATGTTTTTGCTTACTTTAGTATGACCACATAAAAATAAGGAGGTTTAACTAGAGAGAAAACATGTACATATAAGATTGAAACTGTTATCTTATAAAACAGGAAAATGTATCTTAACAAACTTGTCATATTCTTGACACAAAAATCATGACCAAATTGTGCCTTAAATTACTATTATTTTAAAGTAAGACTAAAATTAATTGAAAGATTTTGATGTGTGTATTTTATCAAGACAAGTTTACTTTTTCTTTTTGAGATTCCACTCTCCCAACCCTTTTTTATGCATATGACACTGTTGTTTCTCTCCCAGTTCTCAAAAGTTAACATTTTTATACACTGAAAATGTATTTCTGATATGTACTTACCTCCTTCTCACATAATAGCTACTTTTGTTCAGTGCTGTCCTCTATACATGCTAATTTTTTTCTCACCACTAGCCTTGAAATTTCCACCTACCCCACATTCAGCATGCAGCAACCCTCCACCAATAGGAGCATGACACACTCTCCTGACACAGGTTACTCCTTTTATACTATTCAGCCTAACCTTCACTTTGAGATTAGGCACAAAAGAAGCACCAGAAGTGGATAGGAAAGGTGTAAGAAAATGTTCACTTCCGATACAATATCTTACTTACCTCTTCTCACATAATAGCTAGAATCCTGCACTGAAAAAGTGTAAGGACCATTGCAAAAGTTACCTAGAATAGCACTCTTTGGAAAGTGTCCAAAGAATGTCCAAGTAGTGTGACCTCTCTTGAGTGGTGTACTCAAAACCAAACAGACTTCAGGTTCCTGGTCTAGCTCCATGTGCAACCTGAACTTACAATTCATGACATGCTGTGGGTGCCCTAGCCAACCAGAGTACCTGTCAGCCAGTCCAGTTCCTTGCATAATTATGATGCAATATACCACAACGTGACCCCACAACTAGCAGTCTTGTGGAATACCCCATCTTAACAGTGTGCATTATAGGCCTAGAAAAAGTTATATATATATAGACTGGAGGTCAAGCCTCTGTTTTTATCTGGTGCGGCATCCCAGCCAACTGTTCACCTGGTTCACCTTTTTGCTACACTAGTCTCCAGGGGTCCACCCAGAGGTGCTGTGCCAGGGTACCCCAGACAGTGTGTGTGTGTGTGTGTGTGTGTGTGTGTGTGTGTGTGTGTGTATATATATATATATATATATATATATATATATATATACTCTTTGTGTGATAAACTATACAGTGCAGATTTTGTGATTGACAGCCAAAAGTATACCTGGACAGGCATCACTTGTCACTGAGCAGGATCCATTACCTATACAGGACATGACCCTGTAGGATAAAGAGAAAAGTAAACTTGCCAATACGCTGTTGAATCATCTCTTGGAGAATGGCAACAGGTGGTATGTGATATCCAGATGAGAAAGAAATGGCCACATGATGTGGGTAGTGGGAGATGAACATGTTAGATGTAGTCCACATGCCAGACAGAATGACCTCCTCCAAAGGACAACACAGATGAACAGCCAGGGAAAAGTAAGATATCAAATCTAGTGAGATGGCACCTAGAAGAGATGTTGGAATTGGAAGAAAGGGATCTGTAAGCCAATGGGATAAGCTGAGGAATCCAGACATTCAGGGTAGAAGGAAAAAGGTCTTGTTGAGAGGATGAGTTCCAGGGAATGAATAACATGGAATGAGAACCACAGAAGGAAGCCGTGGCAGCAATACAACAATGGAGAGCACAATAGGACAGAAAAGTCTAACTGGGTCTGCACGGAAGTATAAATGGGAAAAAAGAAGGGATGGAAATGGCATAAAAGAACTGCCCTCACAAGCCACAGATGTCTTGGGAAGGAAGCTAAGATCCAGATAAAGGAGAACATAGGTGTGGTAATAAATCGTAGAGAAAACATCGATGGTAAGATGTTTGACCTCCGACAATCACAGGCCAAAAGGAATAGGAAAGAGGGTGAGAACCAGGAACCAATGGGATAAGTTCTATAAGTAAGAGCCAGTTGTCTACAGAATGATGAAAATACAAGCCCTAGGCATAAGTAGTTAAGCTAAGGCCCTGACTACTTGACAAAACACTGGATAATGGAAATTGCCCTGGGTAGGAGATTGATCAGTGGGTAGGCATGTAGGTACAGGTTGGTACAGAGAGCATCTACAGCCAAAGCTAGGGAATGATGTACTGAGGACAAAAATGTAGATAATTTGGTGACGTGATGTGTGGTAAAAGCATCCAAATGGCAAGTATCCCATTGTGTGTAGAGCCAGTGGAAAGCCTGAAGGTCTAGGACCTCTTTGTGG